AGTGGAGAAGAGGCACACAAAAGACCCCATGGGAAGGACAGAACTGCGTGGTCTGGGCTCCATGAGGTGGTGCAAGGTCCCCTTCTCCCTTGGAGCACCTGGCAGCATCCTGCTCACTGGTATGCTACCCCCATCACCACTAGTGTATTTCAGAGCAGAGGCAACCCAAGCAGGGTGCAGGGCCCAGGGCAAATCAGCCCGTGCGGGGCCATGCTTTCTTAAAGGTGGGGTTCTCCTCCAGTATTTTGTCCTTACTTTGTCCTCCTTGTCTGTAGACTTTTCAAAAAATTATGTAAAGATTTACTTCACACACAAAAATGTCAAGGCTACAGTGTTGAATAAGACTTCATTATAATGATCTCTTCTAGTGGGCTTAAACAGCCCTTTCTGGAGAAATAGTAAATAATTAATCATTAGTTTGGCACTTCTATGAGAAACAGGGCTTTGGAAGTAATTTTAGATGACCTGTATAACCCCCGCCTCCCAGGCAGGAAACAAAAATGCCTGAAGTCCCCTATATACCTATAGGGTGTGGACACATGACTGCTTGGAGCTCTTTCAAAAACAGAACATTTTAAAAGGGCAGCAGCTGGTGCATTTTGTTATGTACAACTGAGCTTACAGTGATTCAAATGCAGCAAATTGGCTCCAACTTTACAGACTTTTATCCAGCGTTAAAGTTGGAGCTTCAAGCATTTGTGTCCACACCCCTAGTTTCTGCTCATTGGCTTGCATAACACCATCTAAGCATTGACAATGCCAAAATACTTGGTATTCTAATTCACAACTAAGCCCTCAGCTAGGAATTTCCCCTACTTCTCTCCCCTCAGCGTTCAATCCTGTCGGTCTTCTCAGAGTAGTTCAGTTGGACTGAGCACTGCACAAAAAATGTCAGAGGAATGACACTTTCAGAGTTTGGCTGAGTATGTTCATGCATCTGCGTGTGTCCTATTTTACCTAACTGTCCAGTGGAAAGTGTCACTCACCTGAGAAGTAGGAAACTTGCCGTCAAAACCCCAGTGTGGCTTTAGTAGCCAAATACGGTGTCTATACATGTGCTCTGGGGTAGACCGGAGGTGGGGAGGGGCACTTTAATTACAGCACCTCTGAGAGCTGCTCCAACTAAAGCTCCCACAGTATCATGTGTATTCAATGTAGCATGCTTCAAAGTGGTGGCAGGGGCTCTTTATCTAAAGCTCATTTGACAGGCTCTGCCGTCATTTTGAAATGCGGGGATGCTGAATACATATGACGGAGGGGCTGCTGGAGCGCGCTAATTAGCATGCTCCAGCAGACTCACAGTTGACTCTATTAATTGAGGCTACACTGACGCACGCAAACTCGCACACATCAGAGGAGAGTTCCGTCACGTGTATAGGTGCCCATAGCGTTTGGGAGGCAGCTGCATGTTCTCAATCGGCTTGCCAACAGTAACTGAGGTGATGGCCACTGGTTAAATCAATTAGCAACTTGGAACTGATTTGACTGCAGTGGTTTGAGATGAATCTGCAAGGTCTTAAAAAGATTTCTCTCCTGTCCTAGGAATGTGGATCCCTTTTTACTTCTGTTCAAACAGCTCAGTGTCATGTGAACATATTGATATTAGAGAATTGTGCTAGTCATGGAATGGACACAGGAAGAGGCAATTTCACGTATTAATGTCCTCAGGTACTGATGATAAATTAGAGATCTAACTCACCACTGGCTCTTTTATCCTTGAGACAATGAAAAAGAGCTGTGACCCAACATCACCAGGATCTACTTCTTCCTCCTGGAGATATTAGCCATGTCTGCAGTAGAACGTGGGGAGCTCAGATCAGCCTCCTCAGTCATCTACGGGCCAATGACTTTCCTATTTACTGGAAGACTGCCTTCTTTGTACTGAGTGACTGTAGATGATGGCTTAATCCAGGACAATCAATCTGTTGGGGGTTTTTTTCCACTCATGCTGGGTTTAGGGACCAGTAGTAATGCAGGAGACAGAAAAGAAGGAATGGATATCTATCTACCTACTATGCAGTCACAACACTCCCATCATTTCTTAGATATGTATAATTCAGAGGAGGAGGCTGCAAAGAGGTGGCTTTGATCCTGTAAACCAGTAGTGTTCAATTGCTCTGGCCCTGTAAGCCAGATGTCTAGCATGGAGCTGGTACATGGGCTGGATCCTGTGCAGAAGGTTGATCCATGGTCCTGATCCAGCAGTGAACCTGATGTGGCGCCAAGCTGTGAGTGAGATTCAGCATGCTGGCATGGTCCCACACACTGGATCCAGTCACGACACACCCTATATGCCATCCAACCGGGCATAAAGGGCTGTCCTCTGGGCCAGAGGACTCCCCACAGGTTTGGAAATTTGGTGGAGGGAGGAGCGGTGACAATATTAATTGCCATGGCCCTGGGAGCAATTAATGCTGATGATGCTTCTCTAACACCAAGTTTTCAGACCTGTTGGGAGCCCCATTGGCTGGATGGTGTATCTCCGCAGGCCAGATCTGCCCTAGGGGCCAAGGTTGAACACAATTGCAGTGAATGCTTATTCCTGCAAATGCTCCTTTATCTTTTAAGCAATTCAGTGAAGTGTATGAGACAGCTCTTCGCTTAGGACAATGATACGATTTTATAGATTCTCAGCCACTTTTTTTCCTAAGGTAAAAAAAAATCACAAAAATATTTCTGTTAGGTTGAAATACTTGAAAATTCAATTTAAATCTCTTCTTTCAAAATGTATTAGGCTTAAGCTGCTTAGAAACCTCCTATGATAGATGACTTGTGGTGAGTGAAATTTGCAAAAGGAAATCCAGTTTGGAGAGAGGCATGATCTAGTAATGTGCCATAATAGCTCCAAGTGAGCTGTGCAGGATCTGTGATCCTTAAGTCCTTTCATTCTATGAATCTTTATTTGAAGATTCCAGACCACTGTGAACTATTCAATATCTTTCTTTTAATAAAAGTCTCCACCAGAAATGTTTCCAAGACATAAAAAAACATTTAATGACTGAAGAGTCAACAAAGTGTCTTTAAAAAGAAAAAGGGGAGAGGTAAGGAATGGAGATAAGAAGATGAATAGCAATAGGATGGCATGGATCTTTCCCTTTCTTCTCTTTGATCCCTTCTCCTACATCCCTGTCAATAAAGAGGCTGGCCTTTTAAAAAGGGCAGTGCCACAACCCCACAGCCACTTTCTTTTAGTCCATTTTTATGTCACACAATCTTTGTTGAGAACTGCTGTGTTAAGGAGGATAATATGACATAATGAATGTGCATTTACTGGTTGGAGGAAGTACATGCACTTCCCTACAGATAGAGTCAGGCCTACATCCAGCTAATTACTCTCTTTTTGTTCTTGGATCTTCAGATCTCTAGAAGGATCAGGACTAGCTCTTTGCTTTGGATGAAGTTTTAAAATCATTAAGACAGCGCCCAGCCATGGCTTGAGAAGAGTCATGGTATACGTGTGCTTAACCACAAGGTCTCAGAGTTATGTGCTTCACAGATGTATGTACAGATGTACGTACAGAAATAAAACCTAAAATACAGTTAGCTAAGGACATATACACACACACACATACTTCCTCTCATGTATCTCCAGCTCAGTCCCTTTTCTGAGAACCAAATTTGACAGAATAGTGCATTTACATACTCTTGGGATTAGCGTCTCATGTTTAGTGGGACCAAGGGCCTAATTTCAACTGTATATAAAGAAATATATCAGTTTGTAGCTAGATATTTGTTGGGGAGGTATTTGACAGTGACAAGTGAAGAGGAACGTTACTGAACACAAAAACCTTTGGTGCAATTGACATTCTGGAGACTCAATCGGTATAAGATACCAGAAGGATGTACATGACTCCTGCTCTGCAGAGCACGTTTATACTAGATCTGAGCCTGTGCTCAAAATGTTAGAGGGCATGCTCACTTTCTACAGTGTTCATAAACATGTCCATCAACCACAACCTTTTGGGAGCAGACAGTACTGGAGATACTCAATTTGTTGAAAAACAAAGTGCCAATCTCTGTGATCTAGCCCCAAAACTATATCACCTTTTCTCCACTAAAGAATAAGGTTAAATGGTATGTTTAGGTATTTTATCAATGTACATCATGATGACAGAGCCAAGAAATAGCTCCATCTATAACTGAGGGGGTTTTACTCTGTTGGGGTTTCTCTGACCAGAAACATTTCCTATGGAGTTTTATACTCTCTCACTCCTCTTCTGTTCTTATTACAGTGTGGAAGGATGCGGCTACAGTATTTTCATTTTCCAGCAGGAAGTGAGTATATTAAAATTTTCATCTTCTAGTCAAGACCACTAAAACAAACAAAAAACTCATAAGACATGGGCCCAAATATTCTGACCTACATCCTCAGCTCTGGCCAACTGCTATCAGTGCAAGACCTAGGTGTGGACTCCTCCAGTATTGACCTGGATGTGTACCAGTCTGAACTCATAGTATAAACAGGTCTGCTTTAAATTAAGTCAACTGCCAATAGATCCAAGGGAGCAGCAGTATGGCAGATTGGGATTATCAAAGGCAAATTGGAATCGCCAATCCAAAAGGAAGCCCTCTCTTTTCTTAATGCCACACCACATATGCAACAGAAAAAGAGATACCACTATGCAGGCTCAATATCACTAGAAGTTCTCTCTCACTGAAATGATCTTACAGAATTACAGCTGTTTTGTACCAGCAGTGTGGCATAGATCAGTCCTATGATAGAGTAGGTTCAATATGTTTTCCATTAATGAAAATTAAGGAATAAAAGTAGATGAGAAGTAAACATGAAACAGGTGTAGAAGCCTGATTTTTTCCACATCTAGGACTCCCACGAGCTGTCCTGGGTGATATGGCATTCAAAAATCTAACAGAACTGCAACAGGACTTCTGTGCAGGAAGTATCTTGTCCAGATTCTTCAGTGAACAGAATTTGCTTCTCACAATAGTTCAGATATTTAAAGAACTGTCAGCAAAAGAAAGCAAACAACTTCAAGGTTCAATTATTTATTACCATTGCTAAGATGAACACAGATACTTGATACCCAATTATTATGCAGAACTGTAAAAAAATAGTTTTAATACAGTATCAAAATTTACACAATTGTCATGTCAAAAGACCAGAGTCCTTCAAATAAGCCCCTGCAGCTAGGTACTGCAGGCACACATACTTGGTTTACATTTCTTCATATATAGGAATACAACAATTTAAGTGTAACTATGAGAATTGCTTATATGAGAAAAAGTAATATGGAAATATAACAAGCCATTGCTTAGGTTTATATATATATATATATATAAATATATAGATGTGTATATGTATGTAAGAAGCATTTTAAGAAGCAAAATTAAAGGCCAGATTCTGCAGTCTTAACTCAAGGAAAAGGAGTCAACAGGAGTTATGCCTGAGATCAGAGGCCTTATAGTTATGTTAAATGGCACCAAATAAGAACAACAGGATAGATGGAATTACAGTTGCAAATTAATCCATAACAACTTTCTGAAGACATTAAGCTAATTTTACAACATATGCCCATAGGAAAAAAGGTTGTACAGCATCCCAGAAACATTCCACTACCAACGGACCAGTAATACAACATGTAACAAGCCCACAGGAAACAGAGACTACCAGCTTTGGCTCAAATATTAGTAATCAGGAACAAACCCAAAACCTGGGAATTGTTGCATTCCTATTTTTTGATGCTCAGCTATGGTAAAAAGTTAAGCAACAGCATTCAGTCACAAGCCTGTTGCACATTCATATAAGAAACTATCATTGCATTTAGATATACACAAAATACCTATCATAGCATTTCAATGCACACAATCTAATATTATACATGTAGAAAAAAAAAATAAATTTAGCACATCTAGGGCACCTCCTGGTCAAAATTCTAGCAATCCAAACAAGAGCTTTTAGTCTCAGAAAAATGAAAGACATGCTTTGAGTATAATAAAGCTTTTCTCTAAAGGAATACTATGGTGGGCAAAGAAAGCTTTGAATAAATGCAGTGCAATCTTTTAGATTCATATGGGTTCTTGTTAAATAAACCAGCATGTCTCTAACCTAAATGGAAGAAATTAGCAATCTGACACCTGGAAAATACTTTCAAAAAAACCCCTCAGATGGTAGTTTTGGTTTGAGATCTTTCATATGGATTGCCAAGTGTTCCATTCATTTAAAATGGTGCTCATCATATACGTCTTCAGAAAAGATGCACCAAAGTGAATGAAAAAGAAGTCTATCTTCACTTTCATTTAGAAAGAAATTGTGTTTTACTACAAGTACTGTAGTTTTTGCTACACTACTGGCTGGTCTTTTAGCACCTCAAAATACAAATATTCTAGGAAAAAATGCTCAGCTAAACATTGCCTACGCACCATTAACTAATAGCTTATAGACTGAAGTGCAAAATACTAAATAACCAATGTTCTCAAAACTGTGGAGACTGAAGGCACAGTTTATCAGTCTCTCTCCAGCCTGGTGAAAACTCCTGTAAATCTAATGGAAAAAGTCATTCAAACTCATTGGAGGTTCACCCTAAGTATCTAAAAAAATCATTTTTTCTGTGCATCTCCTGCAGAGTCCCCAATTATGTTTTAAGTAGGAATTATAATATCTGAATGTTTCTTAAAGTGTATGCATAAATGACAGCGCCATGATTACAAGAGGCAGCATTTAGCTATTCAATAGACTGCAATGACAGAATACATGGGACACTGGGGCACACAACTCTTGTCTGAAAGACTTCTATGAAGAGTCTGTCCTAGTTTCAGAAGCAATGACATGTAGTGCATGTAGACATCCTGTTGTCAGCTGAGAAGTTACTGTAGAGAGAATAAATTCTTTATCTGTCACTGGCATTTTAAACTTTGTATCTCCAGAGAGAGGTCCAACGCTCATGTCCTCTTACATTGGCCCTTTATACTGATTCCCCGACAAATGTTGTCTAATTCCAGGGCACGAGCCTGCAGCATCTCCAAGTTTCCTCCACACAACCTAAGGGCAGTAATAGAAAAAGATGTCATTCTGTCATCCAACACAAAGGGAAGGGAGTGTATTTTATATTCTTTATACATACCATGCACCATAAATAGAGACTGAGGCAAGTACTAAAAGCATGATGACAGAGTACATTTTGAAGGACAATACATTCTTCCTTAACAAAGAAAGTACATATTTCTAAATAACCAATGATCAAAAATGAAAATAATGTACCACCATGTGAATCACTCTGACACTATATTTGGAATACAAAAAATGAAAACACATATATATAATTTGTTCCCAGACAAAAAAAACTCCTACTCAAGTCAATTTCAGGAACATGGGATTTAGTCCAACAAACAATTTAAGCATATGTTCAACTTTAAACACAGGAGTGAGTGGATCTGTTTACTTAAGTGGGACTATTAACTTTCCCAAAGTCAAACACCTATTGAAATTCTCTGCTTAACTTTAAGAAAATGGGAAATCACATGGAAATCAATTAAAAGTGTCCCTGTGCTTAAAGTTATATAAGCTTAAGTGTTTTGCTAGACCAGATGCAATTACAATTTTAGCGGGAATTCTCACGTATTTTCATAGTAGGAACTGTATATGAAAAGGAGTCTTCCTTGTCCTCATCTCCATTCCCATTTGCGAGTGTACAGCACACGTTACAACAAAAGACACTCCTCGGACAGAAAACTAACAACAGGAAAGCATTTACTGTATTCTTACATGACTTTTAAGATTTACCAACTGGAAATAAGAGTAGAAAGCACCCAAGCATGCCCTAGACCAGGGATGGGCCATTATTTTGGCTGGAGGGCCACTTAATGAGTTTTAGTGAGCTGTGGAGGGCCACGCACACAAAATCTTTCAGAAGATATCATTTTAACAAATTATAGATAAACAAAATAATCACATACTAAAAATCAAGCATCTATTTTTAACATACGTTACTTTTATTTCAAAAACTATTTTTCTTGCTTTATTTTTTTTGAGTCGAGTATATAAATAAATAAATAAATAAATAGAGAGAGAAAGTGAGATTGCATAATAGCTCAAAATAGAGTTTTACTCTTTTATAGGGGGGGGGGGGGGTTGGGAGGCGTGCAGAGTGGGGTTGTACCAGGTGGGAGGTATGGGGCAGGGGGGCAGTGAGGAGGGGAGAGGTGTGCACATGTGTGGGCCTGCCTGCACACTAGGTCCCAGAAGCCAGCCAAGAATGGGGGGATGGAGGGAAACAGGGGGGAGGAGCAGATGGCACATGCAGCAGAGCTTCTTGGGTGGTGCAGTGAAGGTGAAGGTATGGTTCACTCCCCTCCGCAACTAGCCTGTGGCTGCCACCCATGGCACTCTACATGGGGCCAAGCCCCACCTGCTCCCGCCTGAGATGGCCAATGCCATACTCCCGCCTTGGCCAGTGCACACAACTCCCCAGTGGGGCTGCTCCTGCTGTTTCTGCTCAGCTCCTCCCACCTCCAGCAGCTCCTTCTCCTGCCCCTGCTGTACCACTCCAGGCAGCAGGTAGCACGTGGAAGCAGTGGCAGCCATGGGGATGTATACCAGGCACCACATACACAGCCAGGCAGGGGAAGGGGAAAGCTGCAGCCAGGTGGCTCCTGCCCCAGCATGTGGGGCTCCAGCTCTAGCTCCTGGCTGCCTTCTACCCACCCAGCTGCCTGGAGGTGGCTGCTCATCACTCCGGGCTTGTGTAGTGAGTGGAAAGCAGCCAAGAGTCGGAGCTGGAGCCAGAGCCCTACACACCTGGGCAGGGGCTACCCAGCTGTAGCTAGCGCCCTGCCACTCCCCCCCCTGGCTGGGTATGTGATGAATGCTGGAATGCATCCCTGTGGCCACTGCCACTTCCCTGCACTACCTGTTGACTCTTTGGAGCCCTCGTTGAGCCCCTCAATCGCAACACATGCTGGAGACGCACATATTCAAGGAGCACACCTGTGAAGATTTATCTGAACCTACTGGAAGGGCCCACATGAAAACACAACATCTCATCATTAAACCTAAATTTGGGGGACTTGAGCCCATCTAATCAGAATAGAAATGGTTAGCAGGAAATAAAAACCTGTCCTAGTAAGATACTAGCAGAAAAGATAAGTCAATTAGAATACACGGTTACAATGCTTGACTCACAACAATTTATTTAATGTGCCAACAATTTATTTAATGCAACTCTTACTCATTAGCACATTTCCAATATGTTTCATCAAGGTAAACATTAACAAAACTGCCCAGTAGAGACAATATTTTTGGAACTGTAAAGCTTAGTTGTCTGATTTCTGTGAAAATACAAACATATCTTGGAACAGTTCTTCCACTCAATGAACAATAGGTACTATTTCCTTAGATGTTAATGTTGATGTGCCTGCCTTTGCTCTATTAGGCGCTCCCGAGCTGCTTTTGTCCGGGTGGTTGATCGTGTTTGTCCCGGGCCTGTGAGCGGACCCCCGAAGGCCCCTCGGTTGATGTCAGAAGACCCCCTTAACTCTCCTGCCACGACTTTGGATGGATCTTCAGTGGAGGGGGTCCCCTTTGAGGGAGCCTCTAGGGTCATCGCGCCTCTCGGCAGGCACTCACGGGGCTCCGACCTCCCCTACACCCCGGCCAAACGCCACCTTCTGCCGCGGGTCTTCAAGCCTAGCTTTATCCCTAGTCCCTGCTGATTGCTTCTCCTGGACTTCCCGTTGTTCCCTAGCGGCAGGACCTGGTATCCTGGGCCGGGCTCTGGTGTGAAGGCTACGAAGCCCTTAATTTCCGCCGCCCTCACCCTTATTCCAACCCTGCTGTGCCACCACGTGAGATACCCACCACCGTGACCGCCAGAGGGGTGCAACCGTCAGGCGGGAAGAAGCCTAGAGGAAATGAAGAGTGACCCAGCCCTCGGGACCCTGTGCTTCCCCGGTGCCTCAGTGTTCCCCGGCCCGGGTGCCTGTCCCTGCTCGGGGCTCCTCTCCTAGGTCCAGATTCTATACAGAGAGGTTGCTATCATCACTTGAGGTCCCATAGGCACGGTTGGTTCCTCTTGGTGATGTTGTGGGTCCTTCTGCTGACCCCGAACTCCACTGGGTTTCCCGGTTTGTGATTTCCCGCCGCCTCCGCCGCAGCTATCCCAGATGTGGTTCCTACTGGTCTCGTTCCTGTCGCTCTCGTACCTCGTCGTCCCTCGGCTCTGGGCTCTCCTGGGGCTGCTCTGGCCTTCCCACCATTCGCTGTCTTCCCCGCTTTCGCTGCTCCATCTGCTCTCGCCACTCACACTGGCTCCTCTGCTGATTCCTCTACCAGCTTCTCCGTCGGCTCCTTTGCCGGTTTCCCCACCAGCTCCTCTGCTGGCTTCTTCCCCAGCTTCTCTGCCGGCTCCTTTGCCAGTCTCCCCACTAGCTCCTCTGCTGGCTTCTTCACCAGCTTCTCTGCCGGCTCTTTTGCCGGTTCCTCCACCGACTCCTCCGCTGGCTTCTTCATTGGCTTCTCTGCCGGTTCTTTTGCCAGTTCCTCCACCGTCTCCTCTGCCGGCTTCTCTGCTGGCTCCTTTGCCGGCACCGCTGCTGGCTTCCCCGCCAGTTCCTCTGCTGCTGCAGATTTCGCCACTGCTGCAGCAGCAGCTGCCCTCGCCGTCTCGGGCTGCCGGACACCGCGGGTGCGTGTTGCTGGCCTCGGGTTTCCCTGCGGGTTCCCCAGTATCCTCTCCTTCCCTTGTGCCTTCAGGGCTGCTCTTTATTTCCGCCGGGTGTTGTCTCTTGCTGACATCACCCGGCCCCAGCTGAATATGAGTGAAGCTAATGAACCGTGTGGGCGGTTTTCCGGCACGCGCTTCCCTGCTCCTTCCAGCCTCTGTGAATGGTAAGTAGGGGCTTTCTGCCCCTTCTATTTTGGCCTGGGGTTCCCCTGTAGCCCCGGCGCCCCCCTCTTCTAACTGGGGTCCCGGGGACAGCTGACATTGCAACAGAGCGCAAACTGAAGCTCTCAAGGACTTTTTTCAGAGAACTAATAATATCTAGTTTATGAGAAGGGACACGCTACATCAAATTTTTACTCATATCATTTTGTGTTACTACACTATAGAAGTAGAGAAGACATATGCTCTCTCCCTAGTATTATTGTATATCAATTGTATTTTATCAGTGAGAAACCACAATATTTCTGTCGATGTTAAAAGGACTATTTCCACTTCAAGACCCATCCTATTCATAGAAAGCAGTAATTGGCACTGTGCCCATCTCTGTTCAATGATTCATTCTCATGCCGCCTTGGCATGGGTGGCTGGTCTTGAGCACCAAGTAGCCTCATGTAAACCCCAGAGAGTTCCTCAATCAGCTTCGGAGAGGCCCCCAAACTCGCCTGCCACGACTTCAGA